ATTGAAAAATGAATATTGCGCATTGCTTTTTTTTTTTTGCCATTCAAGGACTGTTTGTTGGGTTTAGGGAGTTAATCAGTGATTAAATTAATCAGTTGAGGCAAATTTGCTCATTCACTTATTTTCTCTGCAGACACGCACAGGCGCAAACAAAAAAAATAAAATGTTAAATAAAACTAAAACATATTTACAGGGCAACCAGATCTTGCTACACACTCTATTGAGTATAATTTGTGCTGCAGTGAAACTAAGTATCAGTGCAAATCTTTGGGAGTCCAGATGAAAAATAAGTTTAATTGCTGTCATTTGTCCTCGGACTGTTCTCTTTTTTTTGCGAAATTGTGTTCTTTGCAGCAAGGCATTACATCCTGTTAGTCTCATAGTTTGTCAGTATCAACAACAACCAAAGCCTCTGGGTCGCACTGAACACGAGGATAATGGTGAATCATCAGCCGCCTTCCTGGTCACGTAGCCGGTTTCATCTTGAGAGAGAGGACTGCTGATTCTGTGACTAATTAATTAAAATGCAAGCAAGCGGTTAAAATGCACGAGCGTGCTGTCAAAACAACGAGCACAGTTAAATTATAGATACTTTGAAGTTGCTGGTGCTTAAACAATAGTGCGGAATTGGGATCGCTTTAATGTGTGTGGTAATGAAGTCTGAACCTGCGCTGCTGTTCTTACGGGGCTGCTGAAAGATGAATATGCAGTGTCTGATGTGTTTTCCTGCTAAAAAACAGAGCTTAATTATATTTAGAATAATGTTAGAGGAAATGAATACATTTGTTGTGTTGGCAAAATCTATATCAAGGGGGCTGTACATTGTGAACTATAGGAAAGCAACTAGAAACTGCTTTTTCTGCACTGAGAGTGAAATGACTCACTCTTCCCAAAGGAAGGCTGTACAGAACCAGCCCTGGAGATTTCTAGTTCTCATCACTCTTTATGCATTAGATAAAAGTGTGCATGTATCTGTCCTTTTGTGACCAACCTAATCAGACAAAAAAATGGGTGCTGAGCATGAGTGCCTGCTGTAATCATAGCGCACTGCCCCAGAGCTGTGACTCACATGCCGTGATGGCAGTCAAAATGCAAATTTAAGCAATCACACTGAGGAACAGCAGTGAGTGAAGAACAGCGAAGTGAAAAGCGGTGATGCTGTTGGTTTTGTTATGTTCGATAAAAAGCTCCTGTAAAGTCCACTTTGCAGACATCATTACCACAGTATCACTTCAGTGAGACAGCTCATGTTTGATATTATTTATCACAGCAGCAGAACATAATAGAGTTTGGCGTCTGGGATCCGAGCTCATCACTTCCCGTAAATATGTCACGTATAGAAACGGGGGGCAGCTTACAAGGTGGTTGCTGGGATGCTGGGGTAATGGAGGGGTTGAGACAGCAGACAGCGATGCAGGGCTGCAGCAGCACTGACGTGTCAGAGGGAGAGATGGGAAATTTTGCAGCTTAGATAGACCAGCAAATTGGCAGGTTGTGTTTGGTGTACGACACGAGGAGAACGAGGAGTGTGTATGACGCAGTTCGGCTAAAGCCTGACTGCCTGAACTAACTTGTGGGCTTTGCTCCATTTGTTAGGAGAGAATTTTCTCTCTGCCTCTGCCTGGTAAAGCCGCCTTTGGATATTTTGCTTCTGTGTCTCCCAGATGTCAAATCGTAACAATGGGCAGCTGGAAACGATCGTGATGATCAGTTCCACATTTGGAGGACTCACAATAATCCTTCATAACAAGCTCCATAACCTGCAGTGCCCCAAGCACGCAGCTATTATCCCCACTGCTTTAATGTTACAGTGAAATGTCAACTCAGAATTGAGCTACTTCTGAACAATTCAGTCTCTATCAGTCTGTTTAAGATAAAGAAAGAGTGAAAATTTGGCTTAAGGAATCACTAAAGTTGGTCATGTGATCCATGCTTTTTTTTATTTTTTATTAAAGATTCACTGACACTGCACTGTCAGAGCCAACTTACCAATGTTATCAGTATATTCCACAAAGCAGCTGTGGAATAAATTTAATGCCACGTTTGACTGCCTGAGTTATTTGCTCATTATTATATGTCTTTGGACATGGGAGAAGGAAATATTCGCAGTTATTATACCTCGTGATATAATAAATGTGAGCTCAGCTGGTCAGTTTGCCTCATATGAAGAAACATTTTTATTCATTTTACAAATTGTCTACAGGTCATTCATGATTGTTTGACTCCTAATTAATTGTGCGTTACAAGTGATAGACCACTGTTTCAATCTGATTAGGTAGGCGGATTAATGTAAGCAAGGGGATGATAAAGCTAATTCTGCTATTTTGGAGAGGTTTATGTACAAACATTGATGGGAAATAAGGATGGACAGCGAAGTTGAACAGACAGAAACTGTGAGGTTAGTCCCCAGGCCCTTAATGCCCAAAGCACTGCAGAGATTTCTTTGCTGGAGCAGTTTACTTGTGCGACAGATTCATGCAGAGAAAAACAGCAAAAGGTGCAGTGAGTCATCTCGGACTTTGTGATATCATCTGGCAAAACCATGCCTCTGTTTTTCCATGCATACAAATATGTCAACACAAACACAGCCCGTCGTTGCTGAATAAACACTCACCCACCATGTGAAATATACACGTGTGAAAGAACATCTAGGACCCAAACTGCATTAGTTCCAGGTATATGGTTGGGTGACTTTGTTCTCTGTGTGGAAATACATTATTGTGTGTATGTGTTGTGTGCTACAGTGGACGGGTGCTTGTGCTGAAATGCTAGCTGCAGATATTTCCAGTACAATGAAAGCCACGATCCCTGTCATGGACTGCTGACCTGCCACAGCTTTCGCAGCTGGGATGGCACCAGCTTCCTACATCCCTAAGTGGGATGAGGAGTTAGGTGGATGGATGGATGGATGAATGAATGGATAGAATATTTGAACCTAAAGGTAATATTTCAATGGTTTAACACACACACACACACACACACACACACACACACACACACACACACACACACACACACACACACACACACACA